TCAAAAAACGCTAAATAATCGTAATCGGTAATCTAAACGATTGCTCGATCGTTAGAGTTATCAAACGAGTACTCGATTATTCGGTATAATCGTTTCAGCCCTATATATGACACATGTGTGTTGGTGTTCAAAGCCTTCAGAACTCCTCTATCTCTCTCTCTCTCTAGATGTATAATACACACAAAAGGCACAACGGAGGTTTACAGTTCTATATGATTGTATAATATATATTTCTCCTGTACACTACTCAATCTCCTGTACACTATATATATCCCCCCCCCCCTCTGTGTGTGTGTGTGTGTGTGTGTGTGTGTGTGTGTGTTTGTATGCATATGCGTATGTATGTGCGTGTGTGTTTGTGCCTGCAGTTGATCTCGCATACAGACAACCCCATCGGTGTTCAACACAGCAAATTCTGCACAGATATAGTCTTGACATGCTGTGACATAACAGTGCCCAATATCCTGGCATTCGGTGTACCACGTGTTGGAGCTGTTGTACTAAGTGACATCATTGGTTAGTCATGCATTACATCATGGAATCATTGGTTAGTCATGCATTACGTCATGGGATCATTGGTTAGTCATGCATTACGTCATGGGATCATTGGTTAGTCATGCATTACGTCATGGGATCATTGGTTAGTCATGCATTACGTCATGGGGAACATGGTAATAAAGTCAGGACTGTCGGAAGCAGTTGTTGATTGGTCCGGTGGTATCCTGGTTTTTCATACAGTTAGTGTATGGTATGACGAAAAATACGGTGTGCTAGCTGAGTATGCATCCTGTGAGAATATGTCCTTGATCCGAATATGTCGTTGATCCTTGATCCGAATATGTCCTTGATCCGAATATGTCCTTGATCCTTGATCCGAATATGTCCTTGATCCTTGATCCGAATATGTCCTTGATCCGAATATGTCCTTGATCCTTGATCCGAATATGTCCTTGATCCGAATATGTCCTTGATCCTTGATCCGAATATGTCCTTGATCCTTGATCCGAATATGTCCTTGATCCTTGATCTGATCAACAACTGTACACTGTAGTTGTTAATGAGTTGTGTGCATGGAATTGTATCTAGTACATGTATTGCAAAGAGGTTGTTGCATTGGAGTGTATCCAATACATGCATTGTGTTGCAAAGAGGTTGTTGCATTGGAGTGTATCCAATACATGCATTGCCTAGCTGCCTCTCTCGAGCGCTCGAGGTGGTCCTGCTGCGGGCATTGATGTGGTGATATATACTGTGTTTGTTCCCAAACTGTGTTTGTTCCCAAACTGTGTTTGTTCCCAAACTGTGTTTGTTCCCAAACTGTGTTTGTTCCCAAACTGTGTTTGTTCCCAAACTGTGTTTGTTCCCGTGACTGTGTTGTTCTGTTGGTTATACATGTAGATGGTAGGAGCAGTGGACCAAAACGCTTGGCAGACTTGGGTCGTTGTACTTCTGTTTATGAAGTCATTGATCCAGCTAGAGAGTATGTCGAGGACATCTCAGGGAAGGTTATGCGCCACATGGACTCAGTGAGTATTGCCAGTAATGGGGTAATGGGGTAGTGGGTTAGTGGGGTATATACTGTGTGCGTGTGTGTGTGGGGGGGGGGGGGGGTAGTACTGGTAATAGGGCAGTGTGATATAGACTGTGTGTGTGGGGGGGGGGGGGGTACTACCGGTAATAGGGCAGTGTGATATACATGTAGACTCTGTGTGTGTGGGTGGGGGGGGGGGGGGGAGGGGTACTACCGGTAATAGGGCAGTGTGATATAGACTGTGTGTGGAGTACTACCTGTAATAGGGCAGTGTGATATAGACTGTGTGTGTGTGTGGGGTACTTTCATGTAAAACATGTCATTAGTTTTTTTAAAGCCTCTTATACGGGCAATCACAGAACATCACTGGCCATCACCATGGCAATCACAGAACATGATTTCACTGGCCATCACCATGGCAATCACAGAACATGATTTCACTGGCCTGACCGTGGCAATCACAGAACATGATTTCACTGGCCATCACCATGGCAATCACAGAACATGATTTCACTGGCCTGACCGTGGCAATCACAGAACATGATTTCACTGGCCATCACCATGGCAATCACAGAACATGATTTCACTGGCCATCACCATGGCAATCACAGAACATGATTTCACTGGCCTGACCATGGCAATCACAGAACATGATTTCACTGGCCATCACCATGGCAATCACAGAACATGATTTCACTGGCCTGACCATGGCAATCACAGAACATGATTTCACTGGCCATCACCATGGCAATCACAGAACATGATTTCACTGGCCTGACCGTGGCAATCACAGAACATGATTTCACTGGCCATCACCATGGCAATCACAGAACATGATTTCACTGGCCATCACCATGGCAATCACAGAACATGATTTCACTAGCCTGACCATGGCAATCACAGAACATGATTTCACTGGCCATCACCATGGCAATCACAGAACATGATTTCACTGGCCTGACCATGGCAATCACAGAACATGATTTCACTGGCCTGACCATGGCAATCACAGAACATGATTTCACTGGCCTGACCATGGCAATCACAGAACATGATTTCACTGGCCATCACCATGGCAATCACAGAACATGATTTCACTGGCCTGACCATGGCAATCACAGAACATGATTTCACTGGCCTGACCGTGGCAATCACAGAACATGATTTCACTGGCCTGACCGTGGCAATCACAGAACATGATTTCACTGGCCTGACCATGGCAATCACAGAACATGATTTCACTGGCCTGACCATGGCAATCACAGAACATGATTTCACTGGCCTGACCATGGCAATCACAGAACATGATTTCACTGGCCTGACCATGGCAATCACAGAACATGATTTCACTGGCCTGACCATGGCAATCACAGAACATGATTTCACTGGCCTGACCATGGCAATCACAGAACATGATTTCACTGGCCTGACCATGGCAATCACAGAACATGATTTCACTGGCCTGACCATGGCAATCACAGAACATGATTTCACTGGCCTGACCATGGCAATCACAGAACATGATTTCACTGGCCTGACCATGGCAATCACAGAACATGATTTCACTGGCCTGACCATGGCAATCACAGAACATGATTTCACTGGCCTGACCATGGCAATCACAGAACATGATTTCACTGGCCTGACCGTGGCAATCACAGAACATGATTTCACTGGCCTGACCATGGCAATCACAGAACATGATTTCACTGGCCTGACCGTGGCAATCACAGAACATGATTTCACTGGCCTGACCGTGGCAATCACAGAACATGATTTCACTGGCCTGACCGTGGCAATCACAGAACATGATTTCACTGGCCTGACCGTGGCAATCACAGAACATGATTTCACTGGCCTGACCGTGGCAATCACAGAACATGATTTCACTGGCCTGACCGTGGCAATCACAGAACATGATTTCACTGGCCTGACCGTGGCAATCACAGAACATGATTTCACTGGCCTGACCGTGGCAATCACAGAACATGATTTCACTGGCCTGACCGTGGCAATCACAGAACATGATTTCATTGGCCTGACCATGGCAATCACAGAACATGATTTCACTGGCCTGACGCAACATCTGCAAAGCAAAGCAAAACAACAATTTAAATAAAAAGAAAATGAAACTTTACAATCTGCACACAATAACAACTCCATTTTTAAGATAGTCTCTGTTGATCAGTCAGTGTCCATTACCCGTGTTAGCTAGTTGCCAACAAGGCGGGCTTCGGCAACAGGAACATCTGGAGAGGCGTCATCCATCCCCCTATGCCAGGGAAATGGTGAGCGCGCCCTCCGCAGACACATGACATTAGCACGCAATAAAGCAAAGGCCAGACGGCTCCGGATAAGGGAGATATGGGTATGATACCCAACCGATCTACGCTCCGCCATAAGGACAGCCAGCCGTCGATAGAATGTAGTAGCAGCACTGCCCATACCACCAGTTGTTGCCAGGACAAGTGGAGTGAAACCCGACATCTCCACCTCTCGCACTCGTTCAGCATAATGGCGTCGCTTCTCAGCTTCGTGCTTGTTGAAGGCAGATTGGATGTGGGCCGACCGGTTCGAAGCTGCATATGGGTTGAATACCCTTACATCAAAAAAGCAGCGTTCAAACCGTCCGCCCCACACATGCCCCGCCTGCCACAATGTCAAGCCGTGCCTGGTCAGTTGATATTGCCGTCCGATGGCGAAACCGCTCACCAGTGACCGGCTGAAGATGAGGCTCCACCGCAACGTTATTTGCCACTCTCCGGAGCATGCTGGCGGTGACGTCACGTACCTCATTGTGGCGCAACGTTGGAAAGCCACCATTTGGGCAAGATAAGGCGTGGCACAGATCGAAACTGACCCCACAGGCACAGCTGCTGGGAAGACCAGTCAATGGCCAGCCATACCGAAGGGCAATGCCGTCCCGGAACTCACCCTTGGTCAGAGCGAATCCATGGCGCTTCATCGGCCGGCAAGTCAGCCAACTGGACGCTCCTGGCCGGGAGGCCAATTGGCCAGAATAGGAGAGTTCTGCCGGTGCCGCCGCAAGGAAATCAAGCACTTTGCTCTTCATAGAACGTCTGTTCGCTGCCGACAACGTGTGTGGGGTACTACCAGTATTGGGGTAGTGGTGTATAGACTGTGCGAGTCAGGGGGGGGGGGGGGGGGGAAGTACTACCGGTAATAGGGCAGTGGGATATAGACTGTGTGTGTGGGGGGGAGTACTACCGGTAATAGGGCAGTGTGATATAGACTGTGTGTGGGGGGGGGGGGGGGTACTAGTACTGGTAAAAGGGCAGTGTGATATAGACTGTGTGTGGGGGCGGGGGGGGGGGGGGGGTACTACCAGTATTGGGGTAGTGGTGTATAGACTGTGCGAGTCAGGGGGGGGGGGGGGGGGGAAGTACTACCGGTAATAGGGCAGTGGGATATAGACTGTGTGTGTGGGGGGGAGTACTACCGGTAATAGGGCAGTGTGATATAGACTCTGTGTGTGTGGGGGGGGGGGGGGTACTAGTACTGGTAAAAGGGCAGTGTGATATAGACTGTGTGTGGGGGTGGGGGGGGGGGGGGTACTACCAGTATTGGGGTAGTGGTGTATAGATTGATTGACTGACTGATTCTCATCTATCTAAGCGGATTGACCAAAGACAGCTGGAACCTATCCAGTATAGACTATGTGAGTATTGCCAGTACCACGGAAACTTCAGTAAAAGTAAGAAGTACACTGGGCAAAGTGTCTTCTCTACACGGCAGGGCTCGTGCTTCCTGCCGACTGACTTGACACTTGACTGACTCACGACTGCGTATGGAGCACATGAGAATCCTGTCGAACTTTCCACTCTGCAAACCTGCAAGAAAGTAACAATCCTTGCTCTCGATTTGTCTCTCTGTATGTCTCTCTCTCTCTCTCTCTCTCTCTCTCTTTCTCTCTCTCTCTCTCTCTCTCTCTCTCTCTCTCTCTCTCTCTCTCTCTCTTCCTTGTTGATAGGTTGTGTCTCAGTTAATGGGTCATTTTCCGCAGCGCTCTGAGCAGATGCATCGCAAGGTCTACCTGACGTATGAAAGATCACTCTATCAGAAAATTGGACACACCATTGATGACTTGTACACGGTAGGTTGACCCCCCACCCCACCCCTTCAGCCTCCCACCCCCAACCCCCATTCAACATCCAACCCCCTTCAACCTCCAACCCTCTTCAACCTCCAACCCTCGTATATTGATCTCATGACCTTTGGTTGGGCAAGTACACTGCACCTCACCAGCACAGCAGCTCATCACGGTAACACCTACCCATCCACTGGTGTCAATTGTCTTGTGCGGGTGCTTTGTTTCCCATTTTTTCTGTTGGCATTTGCGCTCTGATAAAACAACATCAACATGCTAGACACACACTGGGTGTGGGGCATACATGTTTGAGTTGGTTCTGTTTTTTTCCGGATCAATACCCCCCCCCCCCCTCTTCCACGTCCACCCACCGCAACGTATCCACCCCAACTTCCATAACGCCGGTGCACGCCATTTTATGTTTCGTTGCTTGCATGGCAGGTTTTCTTTTCTATGACCGTGTGTGTGTGACCGTGTGTGTATGCGTGCCTGCATGTAATTATGTGTCCATGTATGTATGTGTTGTGTGTGTTTTATATGTGTGGCTGTGTGCCTGTGTGTATACGTGCGTGTAGGTCTGGGTGCAGAAGATCATCAACCAGCTTCTGCGTGTCACTGAGTTTGTGGAGAGCGTCAGTTTTGATCGTCTTTGCAAGCATATGCGTCTACCTGAAGGTTGGTGGATGGCGTTGTTTGAAGAGGTGGACGAAGAAGACCGTGAGCAAGTACGCCGTACTGCTCTCTTCTCTCCCAAGGCTCCTGCGGCTCCCTTTCAGAGCATGTTAGCACCAGCAGCTGCTGCTCTGCACCGACTGATTGGGACTTTCTGGCCATTGAGCAAAGCAGAGCTACTTACAAAGTCAATTCAGCATATCACGCGGTCTCTTGGAGAGTACCACGGTAGACACCTGAGTAAGTAATGTACTACAGTCTACAGTACATTGTCTGCTGACATACTCCATTTTCTGCTAACTGACAACTTGCGGATTGTATGTGTTTTCTCCTGGAACTGCATGGCTAGCTGTAATGTTCTGGAACTGCATGGCTAGCTGTAATGTTCTGGAACTGCATGGCTAGCTGTAATGTTCTGGAACTGCATGGCTAGCTGTAATGTTCTGGAACTGCATGGCTAGCTGTAATGTTCTGGAACTGCATGGCTAGCTGTAATGTTCTGGAACTGCATGGCTAGCTGTAATGTTCTGGAACTGCATGGCTAGCTGTAATGTTCTGGAACTGCATGGCCAGCTGTAATGTTCTGGAACTGCATGGCTAGCTGTAATGTTCTGGAACTGCATGGCTAGCTGTAACGTTATTAGTCAGACTGTCCAATCTGTTGCCGACATCTCTTTCTGCCTCTTTAAATTTTCTCTTCTGGTCCTTTCCTGTCTCTTCCTGTCTCGTCCGGTCTCTTTCTGTCTCCTCCTGTCTCTACCTGTCTCTTCCTGACAGAGGAGTTCCTGTCTCTTCTTGTCTCTTCCTGTGTCTGCCTGTCTTTTCCTATCTCTTCCTGTCTCTTCTTGTCTCTTCTCGTTACTTCTTGTCTCTTCCTGTCTCTTCCTGTCTCTTCCTGGTTGTCTTCCTGTATATCATCTTACCGTACACAAGTTGTTGTTGTTGTTGTCGTCGTCGTCGTTGTTGTTGTCGTGGTTGTTGCTGTAACAGGTGGTAAAGGAGTTGCTACACAAGTCGGCTCTGACGATCTTGTTCCCGTCGTAATCTTGTTCATTCTCTATTGCAAGCCGGAGATCATTGCTGCACTCTGTATGAACTGCTTACTGTTGGAGGTAAGTATTCAATGCACTCCAATACACTGTACTGCACTGCACTCCAATGCACTGCACTGTACTGCACTCCAATGCAATGTACTGCACTCATGCAGGATAACTAGTGACTACAATTATTCGTACAACCTCTGGCTGACCACTACAATTCGTACACCGGACTTTCTGACTCCAACTCCTGCAGTGCGCTGTCTGAGTACATTTTTTACAATGCACTCTCTGAGTACAATTCTTACACTGCATTCTCTGACTACCATTGTTCCACTGCACCCTGAGTACAAATATTGCACTGTACCCTCTGACTACATATATTGCACTGCACTCTGAGTAAGGTAAAACCTGGTTTTTAAAAGCGACCACCCGGTGGTGCAAGCAAAAGCGGTTGTTAAAGCCAGGTAGTCTTTTTAGAACCATGTTACATACATTCGTGGCACATCGAATCGTGTACATACATGTGCATGAATGTACAAGAAGGAAAACTTCATTCTGCCAGCGGAGAGGACTCAACACAATAATGTGGAGCACTATTACTACACACAAAGGGCACAACGCAGGTTTACTGATTTGTCGCAACTCAGAGTGTCTTGGAAGTTGCGCAATGCAATCATCAGGCGACTTGCATGATTGTGGATGTACTTCCATGTACTCATATTGACAGGTGTGGAGCATAGAATACTTTCATGCTGGCAAAGCATGCACACCTCACTCAAGTGCATGCAGCACATCCTGCACTGTCACTTGTCACTTCTTTCTTTACTGCATGCACTTGCTTCAGAGCGCACTTCAACCCTGTTGCAGTCACCCTGCCAGCCAAGATGGCTCGTTTGGCTAGTTTTAGTCGCGGTGTGCAGGTCCAATATGGCACTTGGTTCACTGAAAGTCGGTCACTGGTCGCGCAAGGCAGGTGGTCGCTGTATCCGGTGCAGTTTCTGTGTAGAACTGTCCGTGCATGGAAAAACGGTCGTCAAAAGCAGGTGGTCGGTAAAACCAGAGAATCGCTTACACCAGGTTTTACTGTACTTTGAAGTACAAATCTCAGTTACACTGTTTTGTAACTCTTATGACCACGTCTTACGCTGGGGGATATTCTGCTTACAACGCCTCCAATGTGGTTGCATACTCCCCGCTGTATGTGTATGTCAGTCTGGGAGATCCGATTGGCGGGCCCATCCTGGTTGGTCTGGCAGGATCCGATCTTCTGCCGTCTCTGAATGCATTGTCCATTTTGCGTGTATGTGTGCATTCACGTGCATGTGCACGTGTGTGTTTGTGCATGTGCATTGTGTGTGTGTGAGTGTGTGTGTGTGAGTGTGTGTGTGTGTTTGTGTGTGCATGTATGTGTGCATGTGTGTATGTATATGCGTGGGTGTGTATGTATGTGTTTCTGTGTGTGTGTGTGTGCATATTGTTCTAGGACATGTGTGCTGAGTTTCTACGGAATGGCATGCATGGATTCTCTATGGTGCAGTTCCAGGGAGCGTTGCATGTCATCGCTAGTGTTCTGCCAACTGAGCAACTGAACCCAGCCAATTCCAGCGGTACTGGACCATCATCTTAGTGCACTGCGGTGCGGCACGGCCATCTTAGTGCACTGTATTGCCACACAGTCCTGTTAGCGCACTGTAGGGCTGGAGGGTCTTGTTAGCGTACTATAGTGCTTCAGGGTCCTGTTAGCGCACTGTGGTGCTGGATGGTCTTGTTAGCGCACTGTAGTGCTGGAGGGTCTTGTTAGCGTACTATAGTGCTTCAGGGTCCTGTTAGCGCACTGTGGTGCTGGATGGTCTTGTTAGCGCACTGTAGGGCTGGAGGGTCTTGTTAGCGTACTATAGTGCTTCAGGGTCCTGTTAGCGCACTGTGGTGCTGGATGGTCTTGTTAGCGCACTGTAGTGCTGGAGGGTCATCTTAGCGCACTCTGTTACGTCGCCATACAACGTGTTCTTCTAGCGCACTGCTCTTTACGGCTTTCTACACGTGGCATGTCGCTTTGATTCACACAGGTGTTCAGCCTGCTCTACATCGTATGTGTACACACACACACACATACGCGCACGTGCACGTGCACACACACACACATACACACACGCACATGTCCTTGTAGCAATGGGACGGTGTATTCGCCCACGCTGTAGTAAGCCCAAGGTTACCATGGTAACTAACATGCTCAGTGGAATAAGTGGCTACGCGTCTGTACAACTTGCTTATCAGACAGCCGCTACAATTACGGCAAGACTGGTACTATCTCATCGTCCCTGATGTTGATCACACTTTGCTCTACACACAGCTACAGGCACATTTTCTTTTTCAGTCTTTTACCGACCTGGCCAGATGCCATGGTTACATGAGGCCAGGACACTGCATGAGCAGATTGAAATTGTTGCTACGAGCAACAACTCACCTGAAGGAGTGACATCATATCACCGGTATTGATTTTGTCTGAATTTTTTTCATATCGGATCTTATCAAACGGTCTGTGCCCTTGTGATTTTAACTTTTCCGTTCTTGTTGAGTGGATGCCGCCTTGTTGAGCAAGCTTATCGGAAATGTCGTCAAATCGTTGATATGCATACTGATCAGTACTGATCCAATCACCCCAGGATATCATCGTTATTATTTTTATTGTTATTATACCGCTCGGCTCTGCCACCATTTTGTTCTACTTTGCAATTGCTGTGTCAACCATTATACCGGCATTACCCACTTGTTCCTTTCACTAACTTTTCCAGTTTCTCTTTATTCCTAACTTTCTCCTGGCAGCCCTCCCTGCTCTTCAGTCCTCCGCCGGACGGTCAGTTTTGAGTACGTCACGGTAGTAGTATACTGTGATTCTCTCCATTGTCTGCCGGCTCAGTGATCTGAGATCTTGTGAGCTCAGTAATCTTGTGGGCTCAGTGATCTTGTGGGCTCAGTGATCTTGTGGGCTCAGTGATCTTGTGGCAGCTCAGTGATCTTGTGGCAGCTCAAGCCCTAAGCACTGTGACGGTTTCTTAGTCACTGCTCAGTGCTGCTGCCTCTGCTATTGCTGTTGCTGCTGCCTCTGCTATTGCTGTTGCTGCTGCCTCTGCTATTGCTGTTGCTGCTGCCGCTGTTTCTGTTGCTGCTGTTGCTGCTGCTGCTGCTGCTGCTGCTGCTGTTCATGGGCCAGTACACAAACTCCATATTGAACCCTGGCACAGAAATGCCACCATAGTCAGACTCCCAGTCTCGAAGGCAGCCTCGGAACCTGTCAAGGCTGTCAAGCCATGGCTGGACTAATGTTTTCGGGCCACCAGTGCGTATTTACTATTTACTGCTGAGGAGGGCATGTGTACCCGCCACATATCGGCAAAGTATCAAATGCCATGGGTATGGCTGGACCAATCCACAAACCTATCCATCGGTTCTCTGATCAGAATGGTCCGGCATGCTGCTCAGCTCCGGCTCGGGCCGCATCCCCGTCTAAGCCGGTTCATATCCACCAGAGCTGATGCCATGAAGCCTCAGTTTTTGATTGGTCTGGCCATACTCTAGCCTTTCATCTTTCTTACAGTTTGTGTAGTTTGTGTATGATATGGAGGGTATACACATGTATGATATGGATGGTATACACATGTATGATATGGAGGGTATACACATGTATGATATGGAGGGTATACACATGTATGATATGGAGGGTATACACATGTATGATATGGAGGGTATACACATGTATGATATGGAGGGTATACACATGTACATGTATGATATGGAGGGTATACACATGGAGGGTATACACATGTATGATATGGAGGGTATACATGTATGATATGGAGGGTATACACAATGAACTCCTCAGCAGTAAACACACGTTGGAGGCTAAAAGGTTGGTCCGGCCATCGTTGGTCCTGCATGCCATGACCTGACCAAGCGGACCGGTTCCGAGGCCGGCAGCCTGTCCTTTATCCATAGTACTACCAAGAGTAAAAAGAGTAGTGGGGTTTATGTACTCTTGGTGCTACATGTAGTGCCGCTAGTGTCCGGTCGGCCTCGGGTAAAATGCCGGGCTTTGCCCATGGTCCGTATACACACACAGCCGCTAGTTCACTGTTCATCGATTCTCATTTCAGCTCTTGCCACTACAAAAAACTATCAAGTTCTTACATGACTTGGCCCGGTGATCATAGTATCCGAGTCTCGCCGCGATGCCAATAAGTCGGGCATGATGAGCTCAGGCCGGATTATGCCCGGGTGACGGGTGTGGAAACGGTTAGCTACTGCCCAAGCAACAGCAGCTACGCCGCGTCATGTAAGACATACCAAGCTATACGGTATACCGGCTCTCCTACGTGTATAAAGCGGGTCTCACGAGTCGATATCCAGTCATGTTTGGTATAATAATTATGTTGAGCTGAATCTTGAGGACTCAACTGCCTGCCATACGGTTTGTAGTATGGTTCTGCTCCCTGCTTTTCAAACAGAATCTGCTTCGAGCTTTATATTACTGCCAAGGCCAAGGGCTATGCCACAGTGCAGTGGCGCATTGTGTACTAGTATTGGGGGGGGGGGGGGGGGGGTAATACAGTCGTCCCTCTCTAATCCGGCACTTTATAATCCAGCACCCTCGATAAACCAGCACAATTTTCAATAGCCAAAATGTCCTTCATGCACATTGCAGCAGTAAATCAGATTTGTTAATCCAGCACCCTCCCTAATCCAGCAGATTTTCGTGGCACAAATGGTGCCGGATTATAGAGGGACCACTGTACCAAGAGTTCATCACCGGGTTATGAACTCTTGCCTCTTGCCAGTCTTACTCTTAGTAATAGTACAGTGCATGCTGGCAACTGAAATCCGACCCCCGGTGCGGCGCGCCGCGCCGCCCAGGGGGTCGGATTTCAGTTGCCAGCTAGCTGTGTACATAATATGTAGGCTGTACACTTGGCGAAGGACTAAAGGGACCCTCACTTAATTTTTTGCCGACTACCCGCCAAAAAACACATTTCGACACGCGTGTGTGTGCTGGACGTCTGCGCGTGCACAAGACGTGTGAGCTGGCTGACAACTTGTGTGACAAGTGAGAGCCAGGGAGTCGCCAAGTACCGGCGTTTGACGACTCCCGGCCTGG